TCTGGGAGTTTTTCCGACCGTTGGGTAACTACTGGGACAGGTGGGACTGGAGGTACCGGTGGGGCATTATCATCTCCGATTGGTTCTTCATCAGGGGCAACCACTTCAACCGCAACTCGGTGGCCCCTGGCAGCGGCTAGATCTCGCTCAAACATTTCCCTCGCATTTCCAGCCTCCCTCTCCACCACCTGTAAGTCCGTTGCATATTGAGCAAGGTCATGTTGTGCCTGTTGAAGAAGTGCATAGCCTTCTATTCCAACATTGCCATCCACCTCTGGATGTTCTTGAAAGAAGGTCTGAAGGGCATCGCTTAGCTGTTGATAATCAATAGGGAGATGTGCCGGCATGGTAGACTATGGTGTTGTACTGGTTGGCAATAGAGGACTCAACTTGGTGTAACGGGGGTCTATGGACGTAGGGACTATGGTGCCAAGGAATACAACCGAGACAAAAACGTAGCAATAGGTATCCGAGACTATGGGCTATGGAGTGACTCTGCCTAGTATGACTAACTAGTTGAGCCCTATGACGAGACGTAGAACAAAGTAGTATTCATGGAATAAATACAAGAAGTTGCGTGAAGAGAAGAGGAAAGGAAGGAAAACATGAAAAGGCACGAGACAACACCCCCTTATATATCCAGTCTCCAGTCCGTTGATGACTCATACCTCGCGTAACGGAAACCAAAAGAATATAACAGAAACCCCATTACAAATCCTAATTCAATTGCACAATACCTTCTCTTCACGATCCAATCAATCATTCCAACCGACCGGTACTATTGCCGTTACACTGGCTGTGAATAGATAAAAAAGAGGGGATTCCGGAGGGTGGCCGTCTTTATTGTTCCATGGTTTTGTAACAAAAGAAAAAGTATGTTGTGGTCCTGTTCTGCTTCCTCCACTACTGACTTTGTTGTGAGCTCGTTTTTCGCACAGTTCAGTTGCTGTTCAATAGCCGTGGTTTTTTTGATGTGGCTCATTGGGTTTTATCCATAGCTGCATCTTCTTGTGGGAGGTCTTGGCCCGGAATGACTACGGGAATTGGTAGCGGGCTTGGGTTTGTGTCTTGTCCGAGTTTGTTGGTGATTCGGACTTTGGTACGTTCTGGGCAGTTGGCGTCTGTTGCCTTATGGGGGGCTTTACAGTGGTAGCACCGGATGGGTGTGTGGACACATCTGACGCCTCCTAAGCATTCGGAGCATGAGTGTTCCTTTGTTTGGTGGTCCTCTGCACAGTGTCCACATCTCCCGGTTTGGTGAGAGCATCTTTCATGTCGGTGGCCACATTCTCAACACTTGGAGCATTGAGTTTCTGGGCTAGCTGGGAGGTAGTTGTTGATTTTGCATTGTCGGTCGAATAAGGTGAGGTATCTTAGTTCGAGGTTATCTTTTGTATATTGTCCTGGGAGTGCAATTATCATTGACGAATGTGTTTTCCCCACTCTGGCCTCGGGTCTGCTGAGCCATCTGGGGATTTGTGCCATTTCGAATGTGGTTCCATAGTTGTTTCTGACTTCTGAGGCCATGACTTGTCCTACTTCATAACCGTCTCCGATTGTTGTCGGAATTCCATGTACGATGAATTTAGACCATCTTGAGTTAACTTTGATGTCAACAAAGGGGACCTTGAGCTCTTTCAGGGCTGCTTCGATTTCTTGTTTGTAATTAAAGACTTCCGAAGCCGGTGTGGCGAATTTGGTTTCCCATACGATGTTGTTTTTTGAGGTTTTCCTAGCGGCAATCAGCTGGCAGTCCAGATTTTCGATTTTGGAGTTGAGTCTAGTCCTGATGTCGGAGGGGGTGACTGGTGATTCCTTGTTTGTTTCGATGATGATTTCTCTGTTGATTTTGGTGACTTCCGGTTTGAATAGGGGGTCCGCTTTGGGTTTGGGTTTCCTCTTGTTCGTTACCACGGTGTATTCAGAGTTGGCGTTTCCTGCTGCAATGGAGACATAAGATTTTTGTGCTGGTGGGGGTGGTGCTTCTCTGCCTTTTCCTTTTGCTTGTTGGGCATGGTTCGGGTTATTGGCGGGTGCGGTGCTGGAGGTAATGGTGGCGGCAGCAGCGACTGCAGTAATGGCAGCGGCTCTTCCTTCAGTAAGTGCTTGATTGCTGGGCCACTTGGTGGAGAGGTTGGTGAGCTGTTGTTGGAGGCGGTGGAGTTTTTCAGATGTTTTGTCCTGATTCTTTGTCATTTCAAACATTTCTTTGGCCAGGATGTCGATGGTGTCTTTAAGGGATTCGTTTTTGGCAGATAGGACTTCGATTGTGGCTTTTAGATCCTTATTGATTCGTTCGGTTGTTTGGTTGAGGGGTTCTAGTGCTACGGTGAGGGCGTTTCTAACTACTTAGGAGATGTAGTTTAAGTCCATTCTGGCATTGGTTTCTTGGGGAATAATGCTGGGGTTGATGTAGTCGTACTTTGGTGCGTACGGTTCATTGTATTGGGTGTGTTCAGCAAAGATAGAAAAAGGTTCGCCGCTGAGTTGGGTATGTTCAATCGTGGTAGACTGTGTTTGTTGGGTTGGTTGAGTGTCGGGAAAGCGTGGGGGGGCCGGGGTTCCTGGTGGGGGGGCTCCTGCAAACCAGGAGTTCAGGGAGGCTTGTTGGGACATCACTGATGTTCCGGATCGAATTGGGTTAGGAAAAACCTCTGATAGGGTTCTCTTCCTGCCCGCGATGTTTGGGGGATTGGGTGGGTTTGGTGAGGCCAGGTAGGTTATTGTTTTTCGCTGTGGTCGCGAGGCTTAAACGAGGGTTGAGGGGTAGAGGGTTCACAACTCAGGAACTAGAGCGTGAATAACTTCGCGTACGAACAGATGTGCGATGAGATACCAATAGATTACGCGGTCTATTGACATACAGGATCGTGTTCGATGAAAAGTTTTATCGAGAGTGCAGGCCAAAAGGTATTGTTGTTCAGAAGTTTTGGTGTTGCGAGGGTAAATACAGGAGATTCCGTAAAGAGAAAAGGAAAGGAAGGGAAACATGAAAAGGCACGAGACAACGCTCCTTTATATATCCAGCCCCTAGTCTATTGATGACTAATACTCTGCGTAACGGAAACTGAAAAGAACATAACAGAAACCCCATTACAAATCATAGTTCAACTGCGCAATACTTCCTCTTCACGATCCAATCCATCACCCTAGCCAGAATATAATATTGCCGTTACAGTAGCTAACCACACTGCCGGTACTTGCATGTCACTGTGCGACTGGCTTCTATCAATAACTTTCAGCATGTAACCGGGCCCTATGTGTACTCATACACCAGACAGTTGAAGTGGCTCCGTTACAGAATACATGTATGAGTTGCTGATGCAGGAGGCCATCGTAGCAGCGTTGCGAGACATCGAGAGTGTAACCAGATATAATGAATGCAGGCTCTGGAGGGTGCCCAGAGGGCATGCTTGAGCATCGCGAGAGCCGCCTGAGCATTAGCGAAGGCACGACAGGCCTCAGAACGGGCAAACCGCCTTCAGAGAATTAAAGTTGGTGGGGTGTCTCCCAAGCCTCCGGTATCTCATGAATACCTGCACGGATTGCTGATGTGGGGGCGACATGTATCGATGGGATGAAAATGAGGGGGATTAAGTTGGCGTAATAATAGCACGATCAAGCCATGGTGTAGTGCTAACTGTGAAAACCTTTAGTAGTGTCATGACAGATCACTCGAGCAGTAGTAGTTGTATCAACCAGGGTGATATGTGATAGATAGGGGGGTATATGTACCTGGGCAACTGATATAAGCACCCTAATTAAACACAAGTACTATGGCTGCTTGCGTGGTGGAATCTAGATGGATGTACACATCAGTGGTACAGGTAATCATTACACTACGAAATCGAGACTATTTCTCTCTAGCTTCTCTTCTCCTTTCTTCTGCTTGCTTGAGACTCTCGCCCCTTTCGATGCTCTCTCTCTCTCTCTCGCTCTCTCTCTCTCTCTCGCTCTCTTTCTCTCTCGCTAATAAACACTCCCTTAGTCCACGATGGGGTTCACTCCCCACACCCCGTGCAAAGCTCCCCTCCCCCACCCCATCGGGAGTGTGTGTTACCAACGCTCTGCCCACCCCTACCCCTGCCCACCCCTGCCCCTGCCTGCCTGCCCCTGCCCTGCCCTGTCGTATTCTGTCCCAAGTTTAGAGCACAGTGCAGGAAAAGGAAAAAAGGTGTGAACCACTCCCAGAAGCACAACACACTCACTCACTGGTTCGGGCAGCAGCAGCAAGGGAAGGCGACCAATGACCTGCAGGGCAGAGGAGAATATCTTGTTCAAGAGGGGAGTGGGCTGCTGTTGTGGTTTGGGTTTGGGGTTTGTTTAGTTTAGTCGTCTGGTTTGTTTAGTTGTTTAGTTGTCGACGGCGGTCTGGCTGTTGTCCGTACGTCTGGCTGGCTGGTTTTCTTTCTCTCTCGCTTTTTTTTTTATTGCTTTCTTTACTTGCTTGGGTAGCTGAGAAGTACCAGTACCAGTGACTTGAGATTTCGAAATTCCTTCTTCTGTACGCAAGTAGTGGTCACTACCCGTACCTTACCGCACCGCACCGCACCGTCCTGTACTCTACCGTCCTGTACCTACCCGTACCCGTACCCGCACCTAAAGAGTGCAGTGCAGTGAGTGAATACAGACAGTGCTCTGCTCTCGGACTCACTTTGCTCGAACCGGACTTGGATATTGCACAGATCTTCACTCTGGAGGTTGATTAATCTGCACCCACATAGTGCAGCAATCACACACACATCACACCATTTCCCACACACACACAAATACACAAAAGGGAAGGCATCTGCCCGTTCTTTTCTTCCTTTCTTCCTTTTTTTTTTTTTTTTGGTTTCTGCTTTGCTGCGATTTGCTTTGACCGATCTTGTACGGTTAAGTCAGGCACGCCCGCTGCTGCTTCTGCTGCTTAAGCTACATCCATTTGTCGCCCATCACCACCAACATCATCAACATCACCAGTAGCACAGCACAGCACCCTCACAGCACCTTACCACACAATGCCCCTGCCCCTGCCCCACCCCCGCCCCCACAAGCGCCAATCCGACTGCCCCTCCGGCTCGCAATGGTACGTCTGCTCCGCCGGCCCCGGCTTCCGCGGCTGCTGCTCCACCGACCCATGCAACACCGGCATCTGCCCCGCCAGCGGCAGCGTAGTCGGGATCGGCTCACCCTCACCCTCGCCCTCACCCACCAGCACCAGCACCCGAACCAGCACTATCACCACCGTGAGGACTAGTACGAGCAGTGTGGGCGCTGGTATTGTCGACACGCCTGTGGCGCGCACGTCGACGTATTCGACGTACTCGGCGTATGCGACGTATCCGAGCGTTGAGGTGACGGCGCTTGCGGAGCCTTCGGCGTCGGTGATGGTGACGGGGAGTGGGAGTGGCGGCGGGGTGGTGGTGGTGACGGAGGCGGGGGAGAGGTCGACGATTACGTTGAATGCGGGGACTGCGACGGTGACGGCGGGGAGTGCGACGGGGGTTGCGGATGCGGCGGCGGGGGGGATGGAGGAGGAGGGACGAGTGTGGCGCCGATTGTGGGCGGGGTGGTGGGCGCGGTGGCGGTGTTGGGGTTGGTGTTGGTTGCGGTTTTGGTGGTGAGGCGGCGGAGGAGGCGGAGGGAGGAGGCGGAGTATGGCGCGGTGGCGGAGAAGCAGGGTATGCTTTCTGTCTTTGGTTATGTAGATACGCAGCTAACACAGACTACAGGTTTCTTCAGCACTCTCTTCCACGGCACGCACCCCCCGCACAGCCCCAGCACCCCCACCACAACCTTCTTCGGCCTCTTTACCAAAAAACCCCACCACCCCCCTCACCACCCTTCCTTCCCCACCTCCCCCGCCCCCGCCTCCACCGACACCAAACACACCCCCCTCCCCCCGCCGGCCTCGCCGAGCTCCCCACCCCCCTCTTCACGCACGACCGCGCCGAGCTCTCCTCCGAGGCCGTCTCCGCGCCATCGCAGCTGTCCACGCCGCTCTACCAGAGCAGCGGGTGGGCGCCGAGTGCGGTCAGCACGTCGAGCACGGGCGCGGTGCTGTCGCCGAAGAGGGAGACGCATTATAGTGATTCGAGTACCGCTGCGGGGGATGGGGCGGGGATGTATGGGTCGGGGGTGCAGGTGCAGGAGTTGCCGGGGTCGCAGGGGGCGTATGGCGGGGGTGGGGTGCAGGAGTTGCCGGCGGGGTCGGGGTCGGGGTATGGGGGGTATTCGCAGCAGGGGTCGTCGCAGCTGTCGTATGCGCAGCAGCATCATCAACAGCAGCAACACTCGCTCGGCCCGCACGCCCACCAGCAGTTGCATGATCACGGCCCGCAACCACCGAGTAGTAGTGCGTCTGCGTCTGCGCCGTCGCAGCCGCAGCAACAGCATAGTTCGGGGTTGAGAGGTGGGGGGTGGCCGGGCGCGGGGATGGTGGCGAATCTGAATAATAGTCTGAGGAGGAAGACGGGGCGGGCTCAGCAGCAGCAGCAGCAGCGGCAGCAGCAGCAGCAAGGACAGCAGGGACACGGGCAGGAGACGCATGTGATGAGCTGGATGAACTATGAGTCGGAGCCGGGGAGTGACGGGCAGGGATCCGGAGGGGTGATTCGGTAGGTTTGCTGTGTGATGGGGGAGGGGAGTGTATAGAATAGGATTGGATAAAATAGGGTACTGGTACGGGTTTGCATGCGTTATGGCTATGGTTACGGTTTGGTTATTGGGCGGGAGTTTTTTGCTGGTTTCTACATTCTTCTTTTCTTTCTACCCTTCCTTCTGTTTTGGATACCTTTTTTTTATACTTCCTTTCTAGATACTTTTTATTTTTCTGCGCATTGCATTGCATGCTTGCATTACGGGGGCCGGGGGCACATTCTTCATCTCCTGCTTTCTATCTATCTAACTAGCATTAAGACGGCGGGCGGGTCTGGGTCGGTGCGCTTGCCTTTTTTTCTTACTTTCTTTATGACGACTATTATCGTAGCCTGGCTCCTGGCTGCGGGTGGTTTTGGCTGTATTTTTAATTAATGTGTATAATCCACTTTTTTCTTTTCATTCCCTTCTTTTCTTTCAGAGCCAACTATAAACGTACATACTACATACTACATACTGCATTCTACATCCTACACACACACTCTCGATCTCGCGGTTAACTTAGCGTACGTTTGGTGAGCATGAGCGTGAGCGGTTTTTTACTACCGACTTTAGTTTGTGTTCTCGTACGGTTGTACGGTTTTGTACGGTTGTACTCGTTTAATATATCACCGCACCCTGCCGGCTTGTACCACAGCTACATGTATACATCTCGGTAGAGTACAGTTGCGAGTCGACAATTGAGCAAGGTCGCGGATGGGGCGGATAGATACATGGTAGATGATTACTCTTCTGCGGCATTTGGCTCTGTCAGTTTCGATCAGCGGTGCAGTGCAACGCTTTTTATTTTAATTGTTTGTGTTTGTGTTTGTGCTTGTACTTCAACTGTGCTTTTGTGCTCGTGTGGCGGAGAGAGGAGATAGATGTAACTAGATAGATGAACATAAAGTAGTATATGCTGGGTGGCACCTACTGCATTAGTAACCCCCGGTGTGAGCTGCATTAGCGAGATAGGTCGGGTTGATGCGCGGGGTTTAGTTGGGTTGGGGGCGGAGGTAGGGGCGGCGTCATGGAGTGTCACTCGGGTTGGTGTGGTTTGGGTGGTTGATGTTGATTCATTCATTTATTGTACGTACGCATAGTAGGTTGCATCTATCGTCCTCCTGATGTAAGTGGTAAACATATATACCCGCCAGAGTTGGCTGTAGCTAGCTATACAAAAAACCCTCTACCATGTTCTGCGTAGTGGTTAGAACAGGGTCTGTATGGGTATCTACGTGATGGATTATATTGCATCTAACCGGCCTTCCTGCGGTTCGCGAAGGGCTATGAGCTGCGGCATCAGTATCTGTTGTCCAGCTTCTGGGGGCCAGGGTGGGTTGGTGGTGGTAGCGGCGGCGGTAACTGTGGTGGGTCGGCCTTGCGTGGCGTGGGAAATATATGGGATCATGATGCATCACTCGGTTCATTATCAACGTTGACACTTACACCAGCTGTTTACACTCAATCCCGATTGGCTAGGAAGCTACTAGATAAACAACTGGGGGCCTTTAATTACGCCGTTACCTCCCTGGGGAATAGATTCGTGGGTGTAGTAGCTAGGAGGAACTCTGACACGACTCTGATGGTAAGGCGATTGATGAGCCTGTTTTGGGAGCGATCATCGGATACATACATGAATAGCGACTGTAAAAAGTTTCAGTCAGCGGCATACCGGTCTGTCATGTCAGGTCTGGACCGGTAAGACGACCGGGTTGGCGGCGCTTTGGGTATCAAACTTCGCGGGTTCGTGCATATAACAGACACACGCTTTCTTAATTCTCACGCTCGCAATTATTGTAGAGAAGTTAGTAGGATTTAACGAAGCGGATGTGTCATGGTGGGACTGCGGTAGGATGATGTTGTATGTTCAGGCTGGCCGCAAGACTTCGACTATAACGAGGGTATTTCTTCCTCGCTTTCTTCCTCCGTTTCGTGCTTAATTCAGCGGCTTTAAAGTCTTTCAATAATTATAAATTAAAGCCCTCTTCGATCTTTCCTTCCTCCCTCTATTAATTCGTCCTTTGGCGATGAATTACCACAACGTCCTCCAACGGCTATAAAGTCCTTCAGCAGTCTCCTTTCGCGAATTCAATACAAAGCACCCCTAACTCGATCCTCTCTCAATTCCTCTCCCCATTAATCCGTTAACACAATGTCCTCCAACGATTATAAACATAACGGCATTCATGAACGACTATAAAGCTATTTATTTCCTTCAGCAATTTTAATGCAACACACCCCTCCTCCCTTTCTTCCACCACTTATGGTCCTTCGCGCCCGAGTAGTCCTTCAACGGCTGTAAACTTGAGCGATTATATACTTATTAGTCCTTCAACGATTACAAAGTTTTTAAGTACGGCGATAAAACCCTCTTCTTCTGTTTTGTCCTTCAACGATAATCCAAGCCCTTCAACATTTGTCTATCTAAAAGGGTTTAAGACCCACCTAGTTCGAGTAAGAAGACACGGCATGGCAGTTCAGCAGCACGCAGTGAGGTGATGGACAGCGGTCCGATAGCACGCGGCCCAACTGTGTGTGCCGAATCAGGAATTGGGAATGAGGAATTAGGAATTAGGAAATATACGCCGCGTGGCCCGCGCGAGTCCATAATCTTGCCTAAGCAAGTAGATCGTCAGCCCCCGTAGTCGAAAACCAAAGCAGCGAGCCAACCCCCGAGTCCATTCACAAATATGCTATGTAGTGATGGAATAGGATGCGGTGAAAGAGCTCTTGTCCTTTCCTTTACTACAGCGGGCCTGTCATGAGCTTTCATAAACTACTGCTACGTACTCTGATCTTCTTTATCTGCTTTGCCTATTAATTAGTGTTATGTTGTTGTCCTATTCAATTTTATGATTAGAATCGTGCTTTCAATAGAAAACATCATTTCTATCATGATCATGTACGTATTGTCGAGAGCTTAAGATTGATAGAAAATTCCTTCTAGGTATGAATTCCTATTACCGGCTTTGTGGATTAAGTGGTCTTTTGGGTAGCGTGGTCGACGAGTCGAGCTTTCACGAGCACTTCATAAAAATCGACTCGAGTCGCTCGAGCCTTTTAGTCATAGGATCTTAGCATAATTTGATAGGTCAAAGGCCACTATGTCAGATTAGAACCAAAGATTTGTTTTTCGCAAATATCATTTTCAGTGCTTTACCTGATTAGGTACTATGTAGGGTATAAAAATATTTGTTAGGGGACTCGGGTTTCCTCACGGGCACTGGTGATCTCACGAGTCGAGCAGAGCAGGCCTCGTAAATCAACGAGCTCCTCGAGCCAATCCTCAAGCTCGACTCGATCAGGCTCGTCGACCATACTACCTTTGGGTAATTTCTGCTCCTAGTTGCTATGCGGAGGTCACGAGAACGTTTGTCACCCGATGATATAATACCATGGCTAATAATAATCCAATCCGTGGGTCATGGCGTACCTGTATCGGCTGCCCGGTGGTTCAAAATGAGTGGAAATTGGGGAAAATTCCAATATCGAGAGCTGGATATATATCTCTGATGATGTACATGTGGAAGTCCCGGTGTGGTTGGAGAAAGTGGTAACGTGCGTATCTAATTAACGAGTGATCTCGTGTGAACGAAAGCTTTTAATTTTGGTTGGACTCGATTGACAGCGAGTTAGAAATGAACCAAGTCGGCGATATATTATGGATTCGATTATTGGTGAGTCCCTCCACGGATTCGGCGCCTTTCACCCGGATTCGATGGTGATACGACCTGCTTAGGTGCAGAGGCGGTGAGTTTCATCGATCCACCAGATGCCATATACACACTACACGTTGCCTAAATACTTGAGCAGAGCAATTTAGCAATCGTATCGATTTACCCATTACGTTTCACTACATGTACCCAGTTTCCATGATGTTTTCATACTTATCTACTACTTATAAGTTATACCAATTCAAAAAAAGAACGTCAGGTCCAAACAGTCCAGACCGGTCGAAATTAAATTGCAAGAACTATGTACCTGGTCGTTATGTAAGTTACCCCAAAATAAAGTATGCATGGCTTATCCGAAGTTTAACCTTTTCTGCATATTCGACTCTTAGTACCTGGGCTATAAATCATGTTTTAAGACTTTGTTGGGCCTTTAGGCGGTGATGAAAGTCCGCTCCGGATAAGACTACGGCAATTTGTTTTTGCTTTTACCGATACGGCTATAAAGTACATATAGTTTAGTATGCCCGGCCGGCCTAGACTGCTTGACTGACGGAGAAAAGGAACAAAGACTTGAGGTCGCTAAAAACGGGATCGAGGTATCAAACAGGAACCCCTATGGGCTCGATATCAGATCAAAGGTAGGAGTGGTCAAAAAGATCAGCTAGCTTTCTACTTCCACATAAAAAAGGTATAGATGCAAAAATTAAGACTGCGAGTACATACATAACTCGCCTTGAGCGTCCCTGTCTCCACCATGCGCCAGTCAGACTATGAACAAAAAAGAAAAAGATGTGTGACAGAAGTGGGACTTGAACCCACGCTCGTTTCCGAACCAGGAATTGATGTTAAGAGTAAGACCTTAACCTGGCGCCATAACCAACTCGGCCATCCTGCCATGTCGCTAAATGTTTGATAAGCTTTTTTGTTCGGTCAAGGATCAAGGGTAGAGTCTCTAGCTTGGCATGGCAGGGTGTTTGAGCTGGGGAGGATTTTGTTTCCTTCATCGGTTGCGGCAAAAAGGTAAGCGCTAACTGAATTTGGTGTGTGTGATCTGGGGAACTAATGAGTTGCGTACCGCTCTTCCCGGCATGCGCCAGTCCAATTGCAACCGCTGTTCACCTTCATAATACAGCGAAAGCTTGCTATAACGGTACTTTCTATAAGGGTAATCTCTCTATAACGGTAGAACTTCTCGGTCCTTTTTGCCTGGCTTTCAGCACCAGCACCTCCTATATAAGGGTAATCTCTCTATAACGGTATCAAACTCCAGTCCCAAGCGTACCATTATAGCAAGCTTTCGCTGTACTATGAGTCTCTCATGTTGGTATGGGCGCTTATGAAGTCCCGATATTACGTGGAATGCCATTGTTTGAATTAGCCCTCTGCCCCGTCGGCAGACAATTTTATAAGAGATGAGACTACAAAGCTTAAACTTAGGGACACCGTAGACAATTGCAAATCATCCCCAGCCATCTAATAAGCAACTACGGCCAGAACATAAGCTTTTTGGTATCTTATCATCTGTCCATCATACTAGCGATCGGAGCCTATTTTCTGGTATCGACTCAAGAGATGGTGGTTGTAATCATATACTATCACTCGATTCGCGTTGCTTTACAAGCGAGTATGAAATATTCTCAGAGATATCGAACGTTTCCTCACACCACGACAACACCCCCAGAGTCCTAGCTTGGTTCTTACCACAGACACGCTTCAGCTCCCTCCGAATACCTGTAACACAAGTCAGTAATCTCCAGGATCGTCGCTTTTTTTGGTCACATCTATTGGTTACACTGAGGTCTCCAAGGTTCCTAAAATGGTCCGGTTTTGGCGCAGTGCGGCACAGACCATGTCTTCACCGAATCACAGGCTCTACCGGGGTAAGCAGTTTGTGGGGTAAAGTAAGCAGAAGTAAGCAGTTTTGAGCAGGATATTGGGTAACGTTTTGAATAGGTGATAGTGAGTGGCTGAATTATGTTCGTGGATTTTGCGCCTCTTACCTGTTGTCGTATGTGATGGATGATAGTACCTCATGGAGACTATCCCGCACATGATCATAAGTAAAAGTATCTTGAATCTTCAGTTGTCCAGTTTTAATGTACATACTAACTCTAACTTAGATTTACTCGTCAAGACAAAGCCTGTTTGGCCTTCTTAGCGAGTTCTTTGTCTGTACCATAGAGGAATCCTCCTTTAGAGTTTGTTACTATTTTTAGCATCAGATCCGACAGAATGGTTAAAGAACTTCGAGAATACTTCTACAATCTTCAATAAGATGTATCATCTGCTCCAAGAACATAGCCATTAGCGGTCGCTGTTGAGGCTGAGGATGTCATCTATCGTGATGGTAACAACGTTTGGCGTTGCGATACATGCAGTTCACCGGTATTAGCAAGGATCCCCAGGTACATGTACGTAGTTCCTTGGTAGGGCACGACCGGTCAACAACACCGAGCACTCTCACGAGAATAATGCTACTGCGCCGTGAAATACCTTTGACCGGTTGAGGTTTTGCAAATAGCTACCCTTAACCGAGCTGCTTTGGTATTCATGAGATGATGTATATATTCCTCTATCTCAGTTGTCACTTTATACTATCTCTCTCTCATCATCGGTCAATAGCAGCTTCTCTTTCCTTTTCTCTTTCTTTCTCTTCTTCCATTGGAGCGCTAGTCGTCCATTCATTCATTTCTTTCCTCTTTTTCTCTTTCTTTTCATCTAAATTTTTCTCACGCCATATATCGCTAGCCGATATTCATTCAATAAAACCCAATAAATATTAACAATGAGAAGCGTCCTCAGCTACTCAGGCCCTGCGGCAGTTCTATTTGCTACTGCATACCTCACCAAGTCTGCCTCAGCACGTTTCCCTCAGCCAGCCAAAGACGATGTCAAATTCAACTCCACCCGTGTTCCTGGCGTTTCAATCTCTTACCGCAACCCTAACATTTGCGAAGAGACCCCAAATGTGGAGTCTTATTCTGGATATATTCAGATCCCGCCAAACACACTTGATTATAAACAAGATTACCCAATCAACACTTTCTTTTGGTTCTTTGAGGCTCATAACGACTCTGCAAATGCACCATTGACAGTTTGGATGAACGGTGGACCTGGATCGTCTTCCATGTAAGTTCTATATGTTTGCTTTTGGTGAGAAGATAATACTAATGTACTTAACAGGAACGGTCTTTTCGAAGAGGTCGGCCCTTGCGATGTCAAGAACGACTCCAAGACAACCGTCAAGCGTGAATTCGCCTGGAATCGTCTTACCAATCTCCTCTTCATCGACCAGCCCGTCCAGGTCGGTTTCTCCTACGATACCCTTAACAACGGTACTCGTACTTTCGACCACAAAGCCAAGGGCTTCAAGGACACTCTCAAGAACTTCACCGCCACTGAGACCATCCCGTCAAACAACGCTACCTACATGGTCGGCACCTTCCCGTCGCTCAGCGTCAACAACACCGCAAACAACACCGACATCGCCGCCCAGGCCTTCTGGTACGGTATGCAGACCTTCACCGAGGCCTTCTCGCAGTACAAGAAGCTCGACGAGGTCTCCATCTACGGTCAATCATACGGTGGTCACTTCGCCCCCCGCTTCTCCGCCTACCTCGAGCAGACGAACGAGAGGATCGGGAACAACACCTTCAAGGCCCCCCGCGGCCGTACCGAGAAGCCCGCAAAGCTCAACGTGAAGACCCTCGGTGTTGTCTCTGGATGCATCGACTACCCAACCCAGTACGCGGGTTTCTACACCCTTGGTGCAAACAACACCTACGACATCCCGTTCCTTAACCAGTCCATTGCTAGCACCCTCCTTAACCAGTACACAAAATCCGGCGGCTGCAAAGACGCATACCTCGAGTGCCAGAAGCTGATGAAAGACGACCCATGGGGTGACAAGGGTACCGTCCGCGCCTGCATCGAGAAGGCGAACAAGGGCGTCTGCAGCATCGTCCACGACCAACAGCCAGTCACTGACTTTGAGTATGTTGCCATCGAGGGAAGGAACAGATATGACATCACCCACAACAACACCGATGGATTCCCATGGACCCACTGGAAGGGATATCTCATGGACGCCAACGTCCAGCGCGAGCTCGGTGTCCGTGTTAACTACACTTCCTCTTCTGCCGCTGTCAGCCGTGCATTTACATCCTCTAACGACCGCTTCGGCCCCGGCTTCCTCGAGGATATCGGTTACCTCCTCGACAAAGGTGTCAAGGTGTCAATGATCTACGGTGACAGGGACCATGCTTGCAACTGGTACGGTGGTGAGCTTGTCAGTCTCGCGGTTAAGCACAAAAAGCAGAAGGAATTCGCGGCTGCAGGATACACAAACATCATTGACAGCAAAGGTACCGTTGGTGGCGAGGTCAGGCAGTATGGAAACTTCTCGTTCTCCCGTGTTTACCAGGCTGGACATGCGGTTCCTGCCTATGCTCAGGAGATCTCGTTCCGCATCTTTGAGCGTACCCACAATGGTATGGATATCGGGACTGGAAAGGAGAAGGCGCTTGATGCATTCTCGACCAAGGGTGGCTCACAAAGCACTACTAAGACCAAGAACGAGGGATTCGGGCCTGCGCCGCAGTGCTACCTTCCTGACTTCAAAGGATGCAATGAGGAGCAGATGAACGCGTTAAACAATGGAACGGCGGTTGTTGAGAACTACTATGTTGTCAAGCCGACTGGTGGTATTGGGTTCAACAGGCCGGTGAAGTCGACTGCGGGGACGGGGATTGTGAACTAAGAAAAAAGAAAAATCATATGTAGAATTTGGTGGGTGGTTAGGAGAGGAGTTGGTCTTGGTTGTGATTTTTTTTCCTTTCTAGAGATTTCTTTTTGTTTGCATAATGATCTTTTTGGAGTTTTGTTTATTTATGAGGACGGACAATCAAATCATGGCGTTAAACACAGTAAAAAGACCTTTTATCCATCATAGTAGAAACTAGTGGACTCGGTGAAGTTGAGAAACCCTTTTCGGACGGGTTTATAATTTAACCAATGAGAGCTGCACAGGTAGACAAAGCTACTGTCAGAACGGAGGCCTTTCCCGGTTTCCTCAAGTTTTAATAAGCTTTGACATGAACTAGTAAGATAACTCAACTCGAATTAGATATTGATGTATAAATTAGGGAATGAATGAAATTATTCTGTCAGCCTATAATTGACTGTATTATTAACCGTCACTACTGGTAGCGTATCACACGAGAGTGCAGTTCAACATGTCGGCCCAAAATCATGGGCGAGATTCATATAGAGATTTGACTTTCTAGAGATACCATGGGAATTGATATTAATGAACTCATGTATATTGCCGCCATGGCAACATATATGGTTATTTTAGTTAGATAATAATCCAATCGTGAGATAGAATCAACTAGAGACATGGATTTTAGTAGGCGAACTACAACTACGTACGTGGCTTACTTCTTGATAATGCATCTCCAAATTATTGCACTTGAACCTCATGTTGCATGATGCTTGGTTGTTGAACTCATTCCCACGTGGTCGTCCGGGGTTGCCGTCGGAATTTACCTACAGGGATAACTTGGCGATATTGGATCCCGAGATTAGAAAAGCGGGACGCTCAGAGCTGACTTCTTAAGTCCGTTTGCTAAAGTGTCCGTTCTCACCGTCTTCGTTGACCCCCGGGATGCTGAACAAACTCTCCATAGAGAATTCCTTGGATTCTCATTGGGCTACCCCGATATACTCAGACACACTCTTCTTATCAACGCTGTTGATTTCTAACGGCCTTGTTGGCCGATTCCCGAACGTACGGTTCAAACTCGCCGCATCCGAGACACAACAGCTGACTCAAAACCAGATTGCCGGGAGCGAACAGACCCTTAATTCCAGTAAGCTAAACGCTAGTTTTGTGATAACTAAACCGAATACTTGGCATTGACGTGCGCACCTCGAATGACCTTCCACAACGTCACCACAAACCTCTTCCTCTCTCCATCGCTCCTTCATCCAGAGTCACAGCATCTATCTCGCAGACAGACTGCGTTGATTCGCTCGGTTTAAGGCGAACAACTTCACAGATGATCACTCGATTACTAACTACTTGTGGGATTACTTATCCAGCTCATCACTAAGCATCGTTATTAGGGCCCCACCACGGGGAGAGATCGGAAAAGCGCACAGCTTGGGATGAAAGTTAGGCCTTCCGTGAAAGGGAACGTAAAGGCCCCACGGGGAATGTTACTCCAAATTTTCACGATGGATATTTAGAGTAGGTTGATTGATCATTTGAGCCGAGTTAATTACAATAAACAACACCGATATATCAGAAGAAGTCTCAGATTCAGACTTTTTGAATGTTCCGAGAACAACTATGGTCATCCTCTAGGGTTCCTATATCCTTAGTAATCGCCTCAGGAGGTCATCGGCAATCAGTTAGCTGATGAAAGGATTTAAGATGAAACAGGGCAACAAGGGTTATCGATATCAGTTTGGTGGGAGTATTACATATTTACATATTTATCGCCCTCGTTCTATGATTAATCTGAATAGCTAACGATGGTGCTTGGAAAACCTTGATGGATGGAATATATTTCAGTATTTTGTCATGGCCGCGTGGGGGGGGGGGGGGGCAATCCGAAAAAATACTCATATGCGAACCTCGATAATAGAATTAGTAAGTTTCCGTTCATTGCACAGCTGTACCTGTACACAGTGGGCCTTTCACCTAGCTACCGGATTCATGTACCTGAGGTTAACTGGATAGTCTTGCTGGGTGCAGATGAAAACAAAGGAAACATGCTATTTCACGGACCATCACTCGGTACGCCTGGCTCAACTACAGGTAAAATTGCATTCCTGCCTTGCATCTACTACAATTTTTTTTATTGGAGTACTGCGGATCGGTTTGTTTGTCCTTGGTCTCAAGTCCCCGGAGCCCTCTCCCAGGATCCTGGCCGTTGGTCCCATTCACAATTTTTATGGGAAACCATGCACCTGGTATTTGGGCCCGATTTTATATATTATATCTCATTGGACTAATTCAAAATCGCATCCTCGGTCTAGAGTAGCTAATATGAAGACACTTGATTGGCGCGCCTCGCATGTGATCTCTTCGCAAAACCAGTCATTATTACTAAACTTAATGTTGTGAGCAGCTTTCGGCCATTGGTTGACACCATATCATTCTAGGTTTAATCGTGAAGATTGAAACGGGTCAATGCATCGACAGTATGGAATACCTCACCTAGAGAATTTAGGCTACAGGGAAGTCTTCTGGCATTAAGGATAACACCAGATATATTCATCCAACAGAACACGTAAATATGGTGTCTGTACATTACGAGCACCTACTTATCAAGGTCTGGTGGTAACACAGGTCGATAAAATATATAGGTTACGCACCAGACGGTATTTTAGCGAGCTACAGTCGTTCAAGGTCTCCCTGTTGGCAAACAGGGGCTATGGTTATGGCACGAAACAGCCAGGCTGTGAGATCTCCAAATTCTTTCAACTTCTATTGGCTCAAATTCCGCTGTTATTTAACGGCTGTAGGTACAGGCAGCGTTCGTCGAGTAACAGTGAATGACTGCAGTACTACCTAAACTCGTAGGTACTCTACATATTTTTGTGGAGGACCGAGAGTTATTCCACAAATAACGACGGGCATGATATGCGAATAGGGTAAAGGATTAACTCAGGTGTCTTGACTGAAACATGGCTTGCTTATGCCCGGAGAACGGCAGTCGTAAAGCGGCAACGGAATGTAAGAAGGGGGTTCGACCATGAAAGGTTATGATCGGTAGTGCGTGCTGACCGCCCTGAGTTTAGTATTGCTACATATCTTTTGCGAATATTTTTCGAGGGCTATCAATTGATAGCAGAAGAAGGTTCGAAGCTAACGTCATTTGGATATACTTGAGACTGTGCGTTAATTGTGAGGGAGGTTAATTTCTCTTTTTGGAATAAAACCAATAAAAAAAAAGCACTCGTGTTTTCCATGACTAACAATCCCTAAAAATCCAATTTGGTCAGAACTCCCAGAGAGCAGGATTTAGTAGGCACCCCTCCCTGACAATAGCAGTACGCCGACGGTCCTATGGCGGGCCGGAATATTGTGACTGAGAAAGATACAAATTTTTCTTGATGGTAAGTCCTGGCGCTTACTTACAGATCATTGGGGGATAAATTTTACAGAACCTTCTAGCCTTACAACCAGATAGATGGGTCCAAGTGTTGGCGAAAATCAATGTAATCAAAAATCATCTGATGCTTATCACCAATAGCTCTGGGAGGACTGTTCTGCTGACATCAGTTCACCTAAAGGACGTTTATTTCACCCCTTGATTTTACGAATCGTGGGATAGGGTCGATCAAAAAGAATATTCCTCCGGTTGAAAAGAAAAGAACGTCAAAATACACTGAAAGCCATGAGCCTTCTGTTAAAATGTCGGTTTGTTCGTGAAATCTCACCGGTTTTGTTCTAAACCTCTGCTCCGATGACCGATTTGAGGCCTGACATTGTCATTGCTGGTGTGTGGTATCCCAAAACCATCTTTCAATAACCTGACTCGTTTAAATGCTTATGGGGTGTAATGTGCATGAGTGCCTAAACTACATGTATCAACGAAATCAACCTTGGCTCGCTCGAGAAGAAAAAAAAAAAAAAGAAAACATAGGATCAATTTCAACAACGCTTGAAACTGGATGAGATTAAAAGCACAGACCTAGAAGGGCCTCCGACTAGGGATTGGAAAATAACGTCTTGCCGCGACGCTTGTGCGCGGCTAAGAATGGATAACGCGTCCATCGTAGAGCAAAGTAACTAGGTATAACCTTAGGGTGCAGAACATACACCCCCGGCTAATGTTCGAATTCAGTCAATAAGTCGAGTATCGACATGGTATACCACCAATAACGGATCGAGGAGTAATAACGTGTTTCTCCTTATCAGTCCAACCTGGCTTGAACACAGCTGGCCGATCTTGCTTTTTTATAAACGAGGAGCTTGACCACCACATTATTGGAATTGATGGTGCATATCATGCAGACCTTTCGGATACGTGGCGTAGGCGGGCCGGAAGGTGAGTCGCGGTGAAAGTTTCCATTTTGGTTTAAATGTGAACAAGTTGATATTAGAACACACGGCACGCGATATACTTCTGTGAATAATAAGCGCGTAACCCGACTCTATTGCATGACCTTTATGATATCGCGTGAGCTTCCATCCCAAGTCAGTGGTGCCCCGCATCAATCATCAGACTTCGGTTGAATAAGGTTTGACTTGGGCTGACCAGATCACTCGACCAAATGGCTGGATATGCAAATTGTTCTCAAATTAAGGGGTGCAGATGAAGAGGATGAAAATAGGTACTATGTGTGACTTGTGTGTGTGTTCCTGACCTGATATTTCTCCATCGAGAAGGAGGAGTGAGGGAAAAATCTGCATGATGGTGGATCGGATTTGCGTCATTCTAGAAACCCAGTCTTGGATCAAACGCCCTAGCCACCCTGAGGCAGGAGGTGCAGCCTATTGTGCTGGGCAGGAAACAACAACGAGTGAGAGCTGATGATATACTGATCTCAAGCTTTGGTTGATTAACACAGGCAATATACAGTCAGAAATCAGGCCACCTCAACCGCAGCAGGGATCATTCAGTGGGCTCTAGCGAGAGGAAATGCATTTAGCACCGGGAGTAATAATCTGGATATGCGAATGCAACATTATTCTCTCGCCAAGTTCACTAACATTACCCCGGATCAACAGGAATGTTCGATTCATATATTTTACAGGGATTTCTCTACTGCGACTGGATCTCAACACAATGTCCTATTGGGGCCGGCCACCATCGCAAAATTTACTCATATGTATAGCCAGCACCTCAGGGCTTTGTGGTAACACTGACATTGGCTCTTTCCATCATTCATATGTATGAAGATCAGGTAAATAGTTGTCTTAACCATAACCAGTACGTATTAATATTTCACCCCTCATAGCACATGGTACCGTTGATGACGATTAGGGTGCAGGCGTTTCTAATGTCCAGCCAGATCCATGCGTTTTGTGAGCCATCACACCGGCAAATTAACACTCCGACCCAAAAGAAAGCAGTACTTTATAGGCAATAGAAAGTCTAGATCATATCTCAAACAGTATATGGGGCGACTTGACAGAATTCAGCTGATCTAGGATTCCTCGACTACAATCTACTGGGAGGTAGGCCATTTCTATACCTCCACATCGAAGATAACAATGCCGGAATTAGAATTCTTCCGACTACTCACATGCCCCTCCCTAGATCTCAGCAGGAACATAAGAAGACTGGGTAACCAGGGTTTTGGGTACCACAAATATTCAAACCGAGACAAAATTATTGGAAGAAAAAATATCTGCCACTCCCTTCCCGGAGAGCTCCGATGATACATCATCGGGGGGCTTACTTGCCGTGAGTGGGTATTAATGTTCAATTGCTACTATGAACTGAGATGGTACGAGCGACAAGCATATACGGAAAGGAAAGGACTGCATTTCAGTAAGCAGGGCTAGGATGGGCCTGAAGCCAGTACCCGAGATTTGATACTGGAGGATAGTTGCTTTGTAGCCACGCAGGGGGGATCAATAAGGGTTTGGACTCCTAAATTGGTGGAGTTTAATCAGTTTAATCCAGCACGCACCACCAGAATAGCGGGAGCGCCAGCTACCTGGCTAGGTTCAGATTCTTTGGACGCGGGAGACAGAAAGTAGATCACTTGCGGGGTTTATTGAAGATTGGGTATCCAAGGAACTTGGGAGAAGCGATGGTTAGCTGAAGTAGCTGCCATTCGGTTGACATATTAAAAAAAAGAAAACATTCACTAGTATTTGATATGGCGTACGCGTGTGTAATCCCCCCGATCATTTTCTTTGAAGTAGGAATCTCGTTAGAGCCTAGGATTAAAACTGAAGATAAATTTCTGTCAGGTATGTAGAAAGCCTCCTAGGATAGTTATTGAACACACGTATCGCAACATCGGACTGAACGGGATAAATGGCCTTGTAGGCTAGGAAACATCCATCTGTGGAGTTACAGGTGACTCTCTGGATAGTGCATCAAAGCACTGAAACATGGCGAATGATGATTCATGATGCTGGCGCATCTGAGAGGTAACCGCGAATCTGCTTTATGCAACCCACACTCTTCTACACCTTCATCCAAGCTCATAACCATATCTAGAATAGACGGGGTCTGAACGAGGAAACAGATAATCGTATAACCAGAAACCGGCACAAGGATTCTATCTTCCGCGGGCAAATCCAAAAGAGTGGTGGGTTGGAGTGAACTCTTGGGTTGGACATCATGCATGATATAAAACGCAATGTCAAACATCTTGGGAATCTGGTAATAGCGTGCGCCATGTTTCATTCCTTCTCGATACCTAGCTTATGTATCAACTGCAACAACGCGCCGAGGAATTCAGCAAAAGGCTAAACTATTGTTCTAAACCGCTCTGAAGTACTCGGCATGCAAAGATCTATGAACATGGGAGCTCCCTGTTACCGAAGTCTGGGAATACCTGCACCAACCAGTAATAGACTGCTGTACCGAAATCTAACGGCCCTACAGGCTTTCGCGTGGTGGCTAGCTACACAAACGGAATACCCAAATAGTGTGTTGTAAAAGACGCATCTGTCTCGAATCAGACCCGCAGAAAAAATGGTAGCTAACTATGCATGTGGGCAGAGTACTCTAGTTATGTGACCTACTTTCACAACTTATAGTGTAGGCAATATTGAGCATGCTTAAGGTGGTAAATATCGATTGATTGGTTATTCCACTGCGGCATATGCAACTGGCTGATCAGCTTTTGACTTACCCGCACGTTTACATTTGGCAAGTTACGCTTGTCTTATTGTAATACTGTGCTATATTATTGGCGATGCAGGTACAGATAAGATATGGAAAAGGAAAAACCTATGGCCCAGCCATACATGCTGTCGGTAACAGCGGGCCGAGATATTTCGCAAGGACTTATGAGGTTGCTATAACCCGAGCGCGTGGTCGGAGCAATCTATCAACGCGATCGCATGAGCTGCTGATTGAGGGAGCGTGCGTTGCGTTGCTCTGCTAGTAAAGGGTACATAGAGTGGGTTTACCATCACCGCCGGAGCCAAATACTCGAAAAATTGGCTAGGTAGCGCCAGATCAAAATTACCTATATGGGAAACTTCTGATGCAGATCGATGCCATTTAGCCAATCGTTGGGGAGGCCGCAGGTAGCCAATTCTTCGAGTTTTTGCAATAATCCTGGGCCCTGGGCTTTCCCGACAGACCGAACAACATATCCGCTACACCTAAATTAACCAGCAAAGCAATGACCACCGAATCGGATCAATTTGTGCCTCGGGAGGGAGGGAGGGAGGGAATGTTTGAGCAAACGACATCTCTCCCAAGAGAGTGCGTGCGTGCGTGCGTTCGTGCATACTCAAACGAGATCGTCAGCTGTAGGCAGTGCCACTTGCCGTCTCGGCATTGCATCTTCAACCAAGGGCTCGGAATATGGCTTCTTCCGGGTCCAGAGCAAGGTCCATTGGATGGGTGGGTTTAATACAGGGTAGGGGGATCTATTTGATACACAACATCGGTAGGTCAGTGGGCCAGAAGGGTACATGCTTTCCTCTCTTTGCGTACTCTGGAGTATGTGGGCGCAGGCAAGTGTGGCTACTCTCTCTACGAGTCTACATAGGTATCTCTCTTTCAGTCTCTTTTTCCTTTTTATCCTGACATTTTTATTTTTTTATTTTTTGCTTTGTTTTGACGTGGAGGAAAAAATAATTTCCAGCCCCCCCCCCCCAAACCAACTCACACGTGGAAATACAATAAATGCATCATCATAATAATAGCTACTATATTGCGGCAGCAGGAGCAGCGGCGTACTACCAGATAGAGTGCACACCTACCATATGTGCTCTACTCTCCAGTAGGTACTCAACTCTGAAGTGGAGTACCACATGCTCCCTGAATCACACCACCTGTTTATTCTTCGTAAACGGGCGCTTTTCGAGTCTGTTGCGGTGACGGTCCGGGCTGGCAGGGCATGGCGTGTCTAGTCTTATTGCTCTAACGGCTTTTATTGTGCTGGAGCGGTGTATGATGTGATTGGGGTAGATTAGCCGCCCCCCCGTCCATCCATGGGTTGGCTAGTTGAGTCTTAAGCGAGAACGAGGTGGAGAGCCATAACAGGCATGAGGTAGAGAGCGGAGGAGGTGGAGGTGGTGGAGGTGGGAGGTGGGAGAAAAGCAAGTGCGAGAGAGGAGCAAGCATGCATATGGGTGGCATAATGTATGCGTACTCTATTGGAAATGATAACTTCTGCTGGCGCTCTTAGGCAGGTATCCTGAACGCACTCTGCCATCCACACTTACCATAACCTACACCACATGCATGCCTATCTAACTGGCTCTGTCCAACGGGATCCCCACACCGCTGGAAAAAGCTATGTACCACAGAGATATAAAGAGGTCGATGGTATCCGCGCCGTCGGTATTTTTAATCGCCTGGAGAGTTTGTCCAGGACCTACCAGCATTTTGGAGAAATATTACCGCATTTTTATTTTTGTTTTGCCCCTTTGACTGGAGGCACTAATAATTCAATAAGTACCGCACAAAATAGATTCTCTCGTCACCCTATCTCTACAGAAGACACGGGGAGTGCCGACAAGCCCTAAAAAGCGCAAGCAAGCAAGCAAGGAAGGAATAGAGCACCACACTAATAGTATTTATCATCAATCACCTCATCAGCATACGATTTGCATACGGCGAAAGCAGGGAGGATCATAAACCGAGTAGAGAGAGACATGTCAACACTTGTTCAAGCACCAACCATGCCCGAAAACGTGCGTGAGAACATAAACAGCACTGTTCGTACCTTATCCGCCGACGAAGCCGACGAGGGTAACTGTATGGACTGGAACGGTAGAGAAGAGGAGAGGTAAATAGCCTTTATTCTTTCGGTGTAGGGGGAACTCAACTGACACTGTCATGCATCGCCCCCTCTAGATACAGCCTGTCATCCGATGGAGAGGAGGAAGAAGATGAAGAAGAGACGTATTCTTCGGACGAGGAACCTTCATCCGATGATGTTGACGACGACGACGATGCTGTCTCAGAGGTCCTGTCGACAATGTCGTTGTCGGAGTCTATAACGGACTATGTTTATGAGAATGGGCGACGCTATCATTCGTACCCGCTCGCGTGCTATGTGAGCGAACAAGAAGAAACCCCCGCTTCTTTGATTTTATGATAGCATCACTGACGAGTACTTTGAACTGTAGGCATTTCCAAACGATGAGCAAGAACAAGATCGACTGGACTTGATGCATCATTTATGGAACCTTGCTCTCGGTGGTGAGCTTTTCCTCTCACCAATTGATAAATCAAACGCAGAAAGGGTATGTTGTTTGCTCGTTTACTAGTTTATTACCGTTATTGGTTAGAGGAGCTTTGTGCGGCTAGCTAGGGGGTTGAGATTTGTGGTTGGTGGTGGTGAAACCATTGCTTGATACATCAGGGGCAATTCAAGGCCCGATTGAGTTTAGCTATCTTTCGTTGGCTAGAAAGAATCTGGGTCCTGAATGCTCACTAATTATCGTGAATGGTTTTCTTGCATACCCTTTTTTCCTGTCTCCGACCATTCTAACGTTTGATACAGATTCTTGATGTAGGGACTGGAACTGGTAAGATTATCATATCCCCAGTCATTACTAGTGCGCACATATTGCGCACAGATCACCCCATTTGGAATTTCCCACTAGCTTCACATTGAAACATCAGGAGAGTGAGCGTAGTAGCTAATCTAGTTTCTTTTACCCTTTTTTTCTTGTCACGATAGGCATCTGGGCTATCGATACAGCAGAGTACGTTACCTCATTTACTACAACCCTAAATCTTTACAAACCAAAGACTAGCTACTATTTTAGAATTTACTGACCACCACTAGTCTGCTTCCAAAAACAACAGTAATCGGAAACGACCTCTCACCAATCCAACCAGTCTACGTCCCACCAAATCTTCATTTTGTGATCGACGACTGTGAGGAAGAGTGGCCTTTTCCTGATAATCATTTTGATTTAATCCATATCCGCAACCTGTCTGGCGCAGTGCGGGACTGGAAGAAGCTATATGCACAGGCTTTCCGGTGTGTGTCTGCGTCGGTCCAAGAAGAGAAGAGAAAAAGAGAGAGGGTGCATGTATAGACGAGGATGGGGGATATGTTGAAAAAGATGAAAAGATAGTCCGAACCGAATCTAACGTTGGGGCCTGTATATCGATTTAAAGGACTCTTAAACCCGGCGGTTGGATCGAACTAAAAGATCATTCACGACCCTTCGATTGCGACGACGGCTCATTTACGAGTGACAACATTCTACAAAAATGGGTCAACGACTTCGATAAGGCCTCCGATATGGCCGGCGTGACGTGGATCATGGCAGAGCAATTCAAAGAAGATTTGCCAGATGCCGGATTCAAACAGGTCACAGAAAGGAGCTTCAAGGTCCCGCTTGGGTAATGAAGAATTCCATTTTCCCCCCCTCCCCTTCTTTCATTTTTTCTATTTCATTTCGACGGAGAGGTTGAGAGAGACGAGAAAAGGAAGAAACAAGCTGTGTTTACTGACGGGGTACTGGCGGGTGTGAATGTAGAACATGGGCGGAAGCTGAAGGCGATAATATGAAGGAAATGGGTATGTCGTGTTGGGCGGGCCGGGCCGGGTGGGAGTCGGTGTAGCGGTTTCTCGCGACTAAAGTCACTCACTTACCTTTGCTTGTTACTCAATAGGTATTTTTCTACGAGAAGTGCTGCTCGTTGGCGCACAGGGATTGACGCTCGCCATGTTTACGAGGATGCTGGGGTGGGATAAGAAGGAGGTTGATGTGCTGGTAGCAAACATTCGCCAGGCCGTCCAGGACCCAAGTATCAATGTCTACACCAAATTGTAAGTTACTCCCTGGGCTTTTTATCCTCTTTAGGTGTATTGAATTGCTATAAGTTTGCTGATAGATATTATATTTGCCTATCTAGCTTCGTTACATACGCCCAAAAACCTCTCACCACACGTCCTAGTTGAAAGAGCACTTTTCTTTACCTGTATATAACGAAACGGCGGAATAATGATTGTAGATGGCACTTGCCCCCTAATTTAATTTCTTTGAACCTTCACCCCCCTTGTGAACTCACTCCTTCAAAAGCACAGGTAAACATGATATTTCTAGCTCGCAGATCTAGATGCACTAACCCCCATACGATGTCAACCCAGCCAGCCACCTAGCCAGCTCCGTCCGACCCCCGATCTGCAAACTAGAGCTGCAACCAGCAATAGATACCCTTCCCACCTACTAATCAATCAAAACGCCAAATTCTTCATATCCGCCAACGTCCAATACTTTCTCATGTTCTCCGCCCCCAACTCCACAACCTCATCCTCCAAATGCTTCCACAGCACCTCCCCAAACGTCTCCATCAGCTCCTTGAGCTCCCTTAACACCAGCTCCCGCTCGCCGTTCTTGCACTCCTTCAAGTACGCTGCATACTTGTCAAGGCCCTCATGGATCTTGCGGTGCTGTGCCAGCAGCTCGTCCTGCTTGCGGAAGGCGGGCATCTTGCGCGCAAGCTTGGGGAACACGTAGCTCTCCTCGATGGAGTGGTGCATCTCGAGGTGCTCGGAGAAGCGGAGTGCGAAGGCGATGAAGTCGCGCAGGGACATGGAGCGCGGGCGTTGGTTGGTGGTGCAGGCCATGTAGATCTCGTTCCAGGAGAGGCGGAAACCGTTGTGCTACCAGACACCCCCGAGAAAGAGAGAGAGAGAGGTGTGTTAGTTAAGTGTGACAGACAGCATATCAATCTAAACGTGCTCCTTGTCGGGATGTGTTTTTTTTTTTTTTTTTTTTTTTTTGCATGGGGATTGGGTTCTTGGGCTATTCCAGCTGCAGCTCCGCATACCTACTGACCTACCTACCTGCCTACCTTCCTAGCTGGCTAGCTAGCATATAGCCAGCTACTGGTCCGGAGGAAATTCCGGTGGATAAATTGCAAAATTACAATTTACGACAAGAATAAACAATAAATCATAAGGAAAAAAAATAGAACAAAAAAATAAAATTAAAAGATAAACAGGGAGTGCGGGAGATTTACAAACTGATCCATGTGTTCCGCCAACCGATTATATTGTCGGAACTCTGACGCGGTGAGCTTCGGCAATTGCTGCTGCTGCTCGGTTTTCTCGCCGGCATCAGCTCCAGGTGACATTGACACTGACTCCTGCTGTTGTGATGCTTGGCCGTCTGACATGGTAATGGCAATGCCTGTGGTTGCTTCTGTGGCTGTGGAGTAGTAATGGATACCCTGACCTTGTAGTCGACCTCGCGGACTGTTTTTATAGATGTGGGTTCGGGTTGCAGCGGATAGTGCACCACAGTTTAAGCTTGGATAAATAATTAATATCGTGAGCACAAGTACGTTTGGTGCGTACATACAGTAGCACACCCCCCGGCCCGGTGGAAGAATAATTACCTCTTGCGATGTATTGCCAGGGATTGATGTGATATGCGGGAGAGCAGATGAAGCATGGAAATACACAAAGAAAGATGGATTTAGGAAAAGAGCAGCTACTTGGGGATCCGATTTCTTTTTACGTCGAAATCTATCGGCCGTGCCGGGTTCATGGCACGTGATCAGCATCTTGATTATATAATGGCTGGCGCTGTGTGACAAATACATCTTTTGCGAGCCACACAAGGGCTTTGTTCGGTCGACTCCTTCATGGGGTATCACTCGCGATTTGTAGGACTAGTTTATTGATTTTTTGTTTTGTTTTAATTTATTAATTGCATGTAACCTTGGTTTGAGCGACGATCGATCAGGTTGAACCCTAGACGGGCGGGACATGCAGGTGTCGTTATACCACGTTGGCCATGTGGGGTGTTAGGTCTGGGGCTCGGCGGTGTAAATGAAACTCCTGGGCCACCGTCTGGCTAGCCAGTTGGGCCCTGCCCGGTCTGCGGTGGCAAACCTAATTGGCACTGAGGTCCTGGGGGCCGCGCTTGTTGATGGGCAGGTGTGCATATACGCTTCGGATTACTATACGGTACAAGCAGCGCATACACATCCAGGTTGACTGTATGGTTTAAGTGAAGGTATGCGGATGAGTCTCTATCACGCGCGGATGGAGGGAGGGGAGAGGGTAGAGAATTACCCTATCGCGCGGCGGCCAGTAATACGGGTATGTGCACTTGGAAGGTAGAGGAATGGAATATGCTTTCTCCCCCTAGGCTGTATACTCTTTAGGCTAGGGTCTTTCCGACATGCGGAATTCCCTAGAAACGTAAAACCACGATCCGTGGGTGAGCTGTCCGGATTCAAGGGAGCCTTTCGTCAATCCTGTTAGGGCGTCATGCTATAGCTATTTAGATGGCTGTGTCTCATCGGGTCCTGTCCCCGGTTCCAGAGAAGCATCTCATCTCGCCTTCGCAGTTATGTCGGGATAGGTGGCACTTCATAGCCTGATCGGGGGACCAACGAGCTATCCCTTATAGAGAGCAGGTAAACTACGTGCTCTACTGGCATAGGTGTATAATATTTCCTGATTACTGAACTCACTGACTGGCCTTGTGTTAGTTCGGTTACTCATCCTCTCTCGACAAACCGGCACCATTCCGACAATTGGGTCGTGAAGCTTTTATGCTTACTTTGGTCGTTCACTCCCCACCGATCCCCGGCAGTTGTATATAAATACTTGTATTATCTATATTTATATATATGTATATGTATATAATATTTAATTATCACCAACTGCTCTCAAAGTGCCGTTCCCCAAGGAGACTTCCCCAATGTCTTTGAAACCAACGGCGGGCTTGCAGTTGTTGGTACCGGTGTATTGGTCTTTTTCCGGAATTCGTATGCAGAGCGAGATAAACCCGCTCCTGCCTTAAGGCTGAAATATGATATGTGTAATAGTTGTGGTAGTAATAGGATTAGCAGCAATAGTAATAAATACTAATCATCCAATATAAATTAAAGGGTCGCTTAACCAGCTTTCCCCAACGGCTCGTAAAAAAAGAAAAGAAAAAAAAAATGGAGATTTTTCCCTTTCTGCTGCAGGTCGGGGGTGGAGGGCTGTGTGTATCGCCGATAACTGACTGGCCCATGGTGTTGATCTCTCGCTCATTTCTGCCGGTACTCCCCGGTCGGGAGTGCAGCGTCAAGTCAAGCTTCATGGCTTTGGCGTCGTGAAGTATCCTGGGACCGGTACCCAGATGGGATTCCGACTTTTCCCGTTACAGCTAGCTGGTGGAGAGGTCGCAAAACTATCATTTCCGATACCGGGGGTCAAATGTGCCGATCACTCTGGGCTCGGGGTCATGGGGCGTTTAACATTCTCCCCGAGATTGATTGAGTACGTTACCAGTCAGTAACATGGCGCAAAAGCCATTGCCGAGATTGCTTCTGGGAAGGAGACTGGTTGGTGGTTACCTGTCTAGCGGCTCTAGCCATGTCAGCGTATATATTATCTGCATGAATTCAGACATTTCCATTATGGTGCTGGTCTAGACTTAAGTAGCTAGTAGATCTATGCCACTTACGCCCTCTCATATCTGGTCTAGTCCAACTAGAGTTATAGGAGTAGCACTGACCCAATGACACTTCTCATGGTTTAATAGAAAAATGCATTATCCCCTGGCTATAGATGCTTTTGCGCTTTAGCACCCTAGGTAGCCTAGTTTCTGCCAGGTACAAGTTACATTAGCAGAATTGGGGGGGGGGGGGGGGTACGGCTAATCTCATAGCAATTTAGTACTGTGTAAGTATATCGCCTTAACCGTCCATTTTATCAAGGGCAACCGTTCTGATACCGCAGTACTAGGGTAATCAGACGGTCAGTTCGCAAGCATCTCCGGTATTGTAAGTGTAAAACCAGGGTTAAATGCAGAGCTAAGTTGTCGTTGAAGCCATCAAGCTACGTACTACGCCTTCGCTTCTCTGCCGGCCTTAGGGTTTCGAGCTGTCAAAGAGTCAAATGCAATTATAGGGATCGATATATAAATAGCCCTAGATGAATTATTACTTCGCGCCCACAGAGACGTGGGAAAGGAGTAGGAATGACGAACGGCATTGTGATATGTGTGCATGATTTTAGGTATTATCCTTTCTTTATCCTCGATCTGTATAACACGGTTTCAGCTGGATGATATGGGCCTGATCTCCCTCAGCGGTTGAATAAAGGGTTAGGGTTTATTATTCATTGAAGCCAAGATTTCAAGAATGTTTGTACGGACAAAGGTTCCCCCGAGCGATTATATCCGTGACCAGTGTTTGTAAATATTTCTGGAATTATAAATATTGTGCCAGAAATGAGGGCCAGTCGGAGCCGGACTTCAACTCCGACTCTGATCCCAACCCGATGCCGACTGCGGGCTGCCTCCCGAGGCATCTCGAGGCGAGAGGCCGAAGGAGGAGAGCAATTGGTGGTGAGGGTTGGGAGGCGAGCTCCGCTGAGCTCTGTACGGTAATTTGTCGGGGCTTTTGAGGCTCCATCAGGAAGTTGATGAAATTTTGTAATTTCTTGCCGAGGCCGAATTACTGATTACCGCTGTTAGGGCATGTGGTTTGAACTTAATCAAGGTATCTCGAAACGGAAAATGCGAATAATGATCTGTAGAGGCTCTATGAAGGTATTCGCCTCGGGTCTAACTATATCTGGCTGAAGCGATGCAAGAAGAATTCTAGATCGAAATAGACGCCTTGCAGATTTGTTGAATTAAAGTTCAAGTGGCCATATCAGCAGCGATTTGATCAAAGGCGTCATTGGCATATCTAGAGTTTATCATCATACCTCAGAGTGCCTAATTCGACTCTGATACTAATTACGGATAAAATGTGAACACGGGGTTCCGTGTCTGCTGCGCGAAGAGTGCCATATTTTGGTATATGATTTAGGTAGAAATCTCCTGATGACAGGACATACACCCCTACAGTGGGAGTTGATATTGGGGAGAAGATTCCGGAATGTGGCCGATTAGTGTAATATTCTTTCTAAACTTGAGAATCCGATTTAGTAGTTACCACTGACGAGAGAAAATAATTGGAATCATGTATTATCACTCGCCTCGAAACGCCGATTGATTGATTAGGCTCATGGCGCCTGCTAGGCTCGTGAGTTCCGAGTGTATGTGTACTGTCGGTGCCGGTGCTGCATGTATGTGCCGTGCTCGAAAGTTTCCCCTTGAAGTTTCTCAGTCCGTCAGCCACCTCTGGCCTATTGGTTTTCTGTAATTGAGGTGGTGGGTGGGGCGTTTTGGGTGGCCGTTGTGTTGTTGGTGGTGGTGGAGGGACGGGGGTGAGGGTATGGAGAATGTCTTCCTCTGCCTGGTATGTCACCAAGGTTTCTAAAGACAGATCTACGTATGGCTGGAAGTGCCAACTATGTCGTGTCACGTGCCAGCGGCGGGGTGACCTAACCTTAGTTTCTTCTCACAAGTAACGTTCTCCACCACATCATCATCCAAGGCTCCGATATATGTGCCGATATACCGGACCTTTCCAAACCCCGAAAGATCCGTCATCCCCGGTTGACTATCATACAATATGTACCCTTTACCACATCTAGCCAAGAAAATTAATGTAACGTGAGGTTTAGTGAGTGCACCCTTTTAACGTCCTGCGTGGAAAACATATATAGGATCGATTGATCGACCACGTTAACCAAAACTGTCAGACAACTATGCAGATCGACCTAAAGATGCATGTCTGATGCGTGAGAGAAATGAATGGACCACCGGACCCGTTAATATGTCAGTGAGGCATTCGAACCGGAGTAGTGGTGGGCACGAGACAAGACGAGACCACATTTTTTTTAGAGGGAGTATGTCTCATCTTGTCTCGGGATTTGCAAAAATGCGAAATGCACTTGCTGGGAGAACGAGAACGAGCCCCCAGCAAAAACGCGGCCGCAACACAAACGTGGTGACAGAAACTTGTTCTCGCAGCACGTAGGATGAGTAACGATATTGATCCGACTGCATATGTTAATTATTATCTTGTGGAAAAAAATATTTTCTTTGGAAGAGTATTATAACCCTCCAAAAACCTTTCTTGAAGGTCCAAAATAGCCCCGCGAGACGTCTCGAGATGATTGTGAGACCACTTCCACTGGTCTCAATTGTCTTATCTCGTTTGAAAAGTTCGAGACTCAGTCTCGAGACCTCAAGTCTCGTGCCCATCACTAAACCGGAGGGATAGAGATACACTTGTAAGAGAGCAGCTTGGTTGGGACAAGTTTTTCCATCTTGATTCATAGTATTAGCTATGGGCAGCCAAAGATGATCTGGCTTCAAACCATCGCCTAGTCGCGGCGGGGAAGCTTTGCGCTGAGAGAGGGCAAGGTGGTGGAAATTATCGGAAGTCTGGCCAGACAGTGTTTAGGTATGTACACAATGTTTAGTCTGTCGGTGGTGTGTTCAACGGGGAATTTGTCAATTAGTGATATTCCTGCCCGGGCCGCTTGTGCCACTCAGGAAAAAGGAGCACCACCTTCCAAGCTAGAAAAAAACAGCTCTACATAAGTGGCCGG